CACCCGTACTCCGCTGAGTCCGTCGCGCAAGCATTCTTCGCCGACATAATCCGCCTTCACGGTGTTCCGCAGTCCCTGGTATCGGACCTCGACCCCGTCTTCACGTCGACATTCTAGCGCGAACTCATGCGCTTGTTGGGCACCAAGCTGCACATGACGACCGCATTCCACCCGTAGTCCGATGGGCAGTCCGAGGCTGCTAAACGGGTCATCATCATGTACCTACGGTGCTTCACCGGTGACCGACCACGATAGTGGCTCCGCTGGCTGCCGTGGGCGGAGTTCGTCTTCAACACCGCCTATCAAACTTCGCTGCGCGACACGTCTTTCAGAGTGGTCTACGGCCATGACCCGTCGTCCATCCGTTCCTACGAGCCGGGTGACACACGGGTGGCCGCGGTGGCCAAGACGATGGCAGAACGCGAAGAGTTCCTCGCCGACATTCGCCTCCGCCTCGAGTAGGCCCAAGTCACTCAGAAGCTGCACTATGACAAGGTCCATCGCCACGTCACGTATCAAGTCGGCGATTGGGCGCTCCTGCGCCTCCGACAACGCGCCGCGTCGTCTCTGCCCCAGGCCGTGTCGGACAAGCTCAAGCCGCGCTTCTTTGGGCCGTACCAGATTGTCGAGCTCATCAACGATGTCGCCGTCCGCCTCGCGCTGCCCCCTCGTGCCCGACTCCACGACGTATTCCACGTCGGGCAGCTCAAGAAGTTCAACGGCGTGCCCCCGGACGCCCCGCCGGCCCTGCCACAGCTTCACCATGGCGCCGTGGCCCCGGAGCCTGACCGTGTGGTCCGCTCACGCTTGGCGCGCGGGGTACGCCAGGTCCTTGTCCAGTGGAAAGGGTTGATTGCGGCCTCTGCTACTTGGGAAGACGCCGAGTCGTTCAGCGCCACCTATCCGACATTTCAGCTCGAGGACGAGCTGCTCCTCGATGGGGGGAGAGATGTCATGGTCGGGCGCACGTATATCAGGCGCCGTCGGGCCCGTGACGTGCGCCGCGCCACGGAACGTGCAAGCCGCGCAATGGGCGCGCAGGGGCTGTTCACCGCAAGTGGCTAGGAGCGAAGGCGATCAAGAGTTTCAGTTTTAGTTCCTTAATTTTAGGAGTTTGTTTCCTTATTCGGTTGGGCCGATGGCCATATATGCTGTACTCGAGACAATTAAGAGGGAAGCAAGATTGTTATCTCCTAAACTCTCTTTCTCTCTCAACCAAACAAGCCTGCAGCGGAGGAGAAAACCTCGCTGGAGAAGACGGACCGAGGCTACGAACTCCGTAGCCGAGGGCCAGCTACCCGGGGGCTCAACGCCGTTGACAACCTGGTAGTGCAACGCCCTAGCGACGTTCCAGGCCCTCATGAACGACGTCCTGCGACCTTTCCTCCGCCGGTTTGTCCTCGTGTTCTTTGACGTCATTCTGATTTACAGCAAGTCTTGGGCCGACCACCTGCGACACCTTCGTGCCGTCCTCACCGAGCTCCGCCGCCACCGCCTCTTCGTCAAACGCTCCAAGTGCGCGTTCGGCGTTCCGTCGGTCTCCTACCTTGGCCACATCATTTCGGAGGCGGGCGTCGCCATGGACCCGGCCAAGGTGCAGGCCATCCACGACTGGCCGCTTCCGCGCTTGGCGCGCGCAGTGCGCGGCTTCCTCGGCTTGGCGGGCTACTACCGCAAGTTCGTCCACAACTACGGTGCGGTTGCGGCGCCGTTGATAGCCCTTCTCAAGAAGGAAGGTTTCTCCTGGGGTGAGGAGGCGGTCGTGGCCTTCACTGCCCTCAAGGCCGCGGTTACATCGGCGCCGATCCTCGCCATGCCGGATTTCACCAAGCCCTTCATCGTCGATTGCGACGCGTCGTCTCACGGCTTCGGCGCCGTGCTCATCCAGGAGGGCCACCCGATCGCATTCTTCAGCAGGCCCGTCGCCCCGCGGCATCGTGCTCTCGCCGCGTACGAACGCGAGATCATCGGCTTCGTCCACGCCGTACGCCATTGGCGCCCGTATCTCTGGGGACGTCGCTTCATCGTCAAGATGGACCATTATAGCCTCAAGTACCTGCTCGATCAGAGGCTGGTGACCATCCCCCAACAACAGTGGGTGGGGAAGTTGCTTGGGTTCGACTTCGTTGTCGAATACAAGCCCGGGACGGCCAACACAGGGGCTGATGCTCTGTCCCGCCGTGACACCGCCGATGACGGGGCGCTGCTCGCACTCTCCGCGCCGCACTTTGACCTCCTCACCAGGCTGCGGCAGCTCCACGACACCGACCCCGCCCTGGTTGCACTGCGTCAGGAGATCACCACCGGCGCCCGCGGTGCACCTTGGACGCTTGTCGATGGAATGGTCCAATTCGCGGGGAGGCTCTACATTCCCCCTGCCTCGTCGATGGTACAAGAGATCATGGTGGCCATCCACGAGGACGGGCATGAAGGGGTCCAACGTACTCTTCACCGGCTGCGTCGCGACTTCCATTTTCCTAACATGAAACAGCTTGTGCAGGATTTGGTGCGTGCTTGCGTCGTCTGCCAGCGGTACAAGTCCGAGCACTTGCACCCGGCGGGCCTCCTCCTTCCCTTGCCGGTTCCGCAGGGCGTTTGGACGGACGTCTCCCTCGACTTTGTGGAGGCCCTCCCTCATGTCCGCGGCAAGTCAGTAATACTCACGGTGATCGACAGATTCAGCAAGTACAGCCACTTCATCCCCCTGGCGCACCCGTACTCTGCTGAGTCCGTCGCACAAGCATTCTTCGTCGACATAGTCCGCCTTCGCGGCGTTCCGCAGTCCCTGGTATCGGACCTCGACCCCGTCTTCACATCGACGTTCTGGCGCGAACTCATGCGCTTGTTGGGCACCAAGCTGCACATGACGACCACATTCCACCCACAGTCCGATGGGCAGTCCGAGGCCGCTAACCGGGTCATCATCATGTACCTGTGGTGCTTCACTGGTGATCGACCGCGACAGTGGCTCCGCTGGCTGCCATGGGCGGAGTTCGTCTTCAACACCGCCTATCAAACTTCGCTGCGCGACGCGCCTTTCATAGTGGTCTACGGCCATGACCTGCCGTCCATCCGTTCCTACGAGCCGGGTGACACACGGGTGGCCACGGTGGCCAAGACGATGGCAGAACACGAAGAGTTCCTCGCCGACATTCGCCTCCGCCTCGAGCAGGCCCAAGTCACTCAGAAGCTGCACTACGACAAGGTCCATCGCCACGTCACGTATCAAGTCAGCGATTGGGCGCTCCTGCGCCTCCGACAACGCGCCGCGTCGTCTCTGCCCCAGGCCGTGTCGGGCAAGCTCAAGCCACGCTTCTTCGGGCCGTACCAGATCGTCGAGCTCATCAACGATGTCGTCGTCCGCCTCGCACTGCCCCCTCGTGCCCGACTCCACGACGTATTCCACGTCGGGCAGCTCAAGAAGTTCAACGGCGTGCCCTCGGACGCCCCGCCGGCCCTGTCGCAGCTTCACCATGGCGCCGTGGCCCCGGAGCCTGACTATGTGGTCCGCTCACGCTTGGCGCGCGGGGTACGCCAGGTCCTCGTCTAGTGGAAAGGGCAGACGGCGGCCTCTGCTACTTGGGAAGACGCCGAGTCGTTCAGCGCCACCTATCCGACATTTCAGCTCGAGGACGAGCTGCTCCTCGACGGGGGGAGAGATGTCATGGTCGGGCGCACGTATATCAGGCACCGTCGGGCACGTGACGTGCACCGCGCCACGGAACGCGCAAGCCACGCGATGGGCGCGCGCGCAGGGGCCGTTCACCGCAAATGGCTAGGAGCGAAGGCGGTCAAGAGTTTCAGTTTTAGTTCCTTAATTTTAGGAGTTTGTTTCCTTATTCGGTTGGGCCGATGGCCATATATGCTGTACTTGAGACAATTAAGAGGGAAGCAAGATTGTTATCTCCTAAACTCTCTTTCTCTCTCAACCAAACAAGCCTGCGGCGGAGGAGAAAACCTTGCCGGAGAAGACGGACCGAGGCTACGAACTCCGTAGCCGAGGGCTAGCTACCCGGGGGCTCAACGCCCTTGGGTCGTAGTCGCGTGCTCCGCGACTGTCGCCGCGCCCACCACGGTCGTCGTATCCCCTGAAGCCGCGGTCGTCGAAGCCGTAGCCGCGCGCGCCCAAATCATCGTAGCCGCGCGGGCCGCGTTCCTCAAAGCCGCTGGGCGCTGTTTTCGTAAGTAGCTGCGTGCGCATGGTCGTTGTTGAAGCAGCGGGCTGCGGTCCTCTCGAGTCATGAAACCGCGCCCGCCGAACTCACGATCAGAGGAGCGGTAATCGGACGCGTCCCGATCGTGCGAGTCGAAATCGCGGGCGAAGCGCTCCCGCTCATGAAGCATGCGATCGCGGAACGCAGTCCATGCGTCCGCAATCGCGTCGTCTTCACCACCGTGACCATCCTCCCCGTCGGCGCCCTTACCCGCATCGGGCTTGCCGGTCTCCACGCGAGCCAGACGGGAGTCGTGGGAATTGAGGTGATTGGTGATGGAGGTGAGCTGGCCGAAGATTCGATCGAAATTGGCATCCAACTTCTTCTCAAGGGCCGCAAGATCGAATTGGGAGACGGACATGGCTGTCGATTCACCCTGAATGGTCTCTGATACCAAATTGATACGGCGTTGCCGCCGTGGAGTACGCAGAGGAGATTGGAGGAGTAGGCTGGATGGGGAATTGGAGCGGAGGGATAGCGAGGCAAAGGTGCGATGGGGAAGTCGCGTGGTGGCAGTAGCGTAAGCCTTGCACATGACCACCGTCGAAGAGGAACCCCACCCGCGGTCAGAGAGTTCTATTCTTCTTCGATAAAATCCTTACATCTCTAAAGAGCCACCTTTATAGTCCGGTGGTTTCCTAACAAACCATAGCTTATAGATCCTAAAAATCCTCCTCGACTTATTGACTTGCTAAACAAATAAAGGTGCCTTAGCCACTCTCGGGCTGTAAAGACGACCTCACGCCTTGGTATGTATTGCGGCCTATGAAGAATCTACAACACCTGTCATTCTTTGTAGACATATTGTGCCAAGGTGGATTTTCCGGCACCTCCATGAGCAACAATGGCCACACCAGAGTAGCGGTTTGTGTTATCCTTATTTGTAAGAAGATCTATTATATGATTACGATCGGAGTCGCGACCAAACACTTTTGGAGGGGCGGTGATGTTGTCAAAGGGACAATTTCTTTGTTGCCACATCTCTAATGCAACCTAGATTTGGTAACCCAAGAAGTCGACGGAAGTCCTTGGCTTTTGCTAAGGTGCTCTTGAGTTCATTCAATTTGTGAAGGTAGCTCCTGTTCCCTGTGAAGCGTGTTGGACATCCCGCTTGTGGCAAGACGCAAAGGCTTTAGGACTTTGTCTCTCACCATTGGGAGCGATCATCATTTCCATTCTTGGCTTGTGCACGAGGGCTATTTGTACTCGTGCTCGTCAAGCGAGATCTTCAGAAGATGTCTGAGGCTTCTTTGAGCTGCCTGAGCCATGCTTCCAAGTTTTCTGCGGTGGGGACTCGTTTCACCCGCTTCAATTACCAGATTGAACTGTGGCATGATGCTGGTCTCCAGTTCATGGAGCTCATTCGCCATGTCAACGCCAAGGTAGGTTGAAGCGTTAGCGAGGAGCTTATTCAAGATGGGTGATATCGCTAGCCGTAAACCAGCTAGCGCCACCTCCGCCATGGTAACTTCTTTCTCTAGGCCTTATTCTCGGTGGATTGTGTGGTTTTTTAGGTGGAAATGTATAGAGAAAGAGCAGAAATATCTTTTCTGGTATAACTAGAATGAGAATAAGATTGAATATATAGAAGCCCAAGTGTTCTTTTTTTTGGTTTTGGGGTGATGGATATACTGAAAAGAAGATTGAAGTATCGTTTACTTTTTTGGGTAGAACTATGATATAAAAAGGAATAAGGGTGAATATAGATAGAAACAAAAGTGCTTTTCTGTAGAGATATTTGGGAGACAAATCGGCTAGATGAAACCAGTCAACTGTGGACAGCTTAGGGTGAGGAAATGGATATGTATATGATATGAAGAAATACAAGATAGCTTTTTATTTTTGTGGGATGGGGAGAAGATAAAAAACTTTTTCCCTTCTTTTTATGAGAATTGGGGGTATGAAGCCAGAGCCTGTGCGGGATGACTCCAGTGAATTGAAGCCCAGCTGTTGTTGTGGCTGTGTCCTACTCCTATGAGATCGACTCGAGGCCCAGCAAAGGATGAACCCACCTGTTAACAGAACGGCGACGCAACGACATAGACAGAAAAAAAAATGAATTGCTATGTTGAAGATAAAAAACTGATTAGGAGACTAGCTGCCCAAGGTTCCGAAAATGTCGGAAGCAGCTAGATATCCTTGTCGGAGACGGAGACCGGAGATGGAGAACAAGACGGTGATTGTTATTCTCTCCTTGGTTGGAGACTCGTCGGCTCGGCCGACCACTCCCTGTTGGGAATTGGGGACTGATCGGTTCTATCGATCAATTCTGTAGCTGTAGCAGTATTATAATTGGTCACCTCTAGTATATTTGTTGGTAGCTATTACATCAACCATGTCTTGATAGTGGGCTGAGATAAGCTTTGTACTGCTAGGAGTAGTTGGTATACTATGTACCTTAGAAGTAGGTAGTTGATGTATCATGTACTTTAGGAGTAGGTATTTGGTATACTCTTGTACTCAGGAGTATGTAGTTGACCAATAACTATGTACCTGTTAGCAGCTAGAGTTGTATATATTCTATCCAAAGGATAATAGAATACCTAGTTCAGTTGCCACAAACCAAAGGGCAGGGCTTCGGCCAACGCTGGTGCTGGTGCTGAGTGTGTGTGCGCTGTTCTCAATCTCTTCTTCTATCTCTAGCCATAGTGAATAAGTGAGTGTGCTGGTAAGCTAGTTGCTTACCTGTGTAGGGCAGCCAGGGATCAACAAGTGGTATCGAAGCCGTACAAGCACTATCGTTGGACTAACCGCTGGCGATGACGGACGGTTTGGAGATGGGCGACAGCAGCGGCGCTGCTGTGGCTGTCCAGCCACGACAGGAGGTCGTTGTGCGCACAGTGCAGGAGGTCAGCGGCACCAGTTGGTCGACGCTGACTTGCACCAATTATGGCGAATAGGCGGTGACCATGAAGGTCAAGCTCAGAGCCCGATGGCTCTGGAATGCCATTGACAAGGGCACCGACAACGAAGAAGACTACATGTCAGCATTGGAAGCCATCCTCGCTGCTGTGCCAGCGGGAGTACAGGGAGCCGTTGGGGGCGAAGAGCTCTGCTAAAGAGGCATGGGAGGCCATTGCGGCGATGCGCGTTGGTCCCGACCGTGCAAAGAAGGCGACGGCCCAACTGCTGAAGCAGGAGTACGCCAACCTTAAGTTCAAGGATGGTGAATTGGTGGAGGACTTCTCCCTCCGCCTGTAGACGCTCATCAGCAAGCTGAGGAGCCACGGCGTCACCATCGACGAAGAAGATGCGGTCTCCATGTACCTCCACTCCATACCGGCGAAGTACATCGAGATTGCTCTCTCCGTAAAGACGATGTTGGACTTGTCCACTCTCACCATTGAGGATGTGACAGGTCATCTGCGGGCGGTGGACGAGCGCATGGAGCAGGCAACTGCAACGACGGACAGCGGCAAGCTGCTGCTGACAGAAGAGGAGTGGGCTGCCCGGATGAAGGAGAAGAAATACGGGGAAGCCCCCTCCAGCCGCGGTGGCGATGGCAAGCGCCGCGCAAGGCCTCTTCGGAGAAGAAGAAGAAGGTCGATCCCAACGCCTGCCGGCGCTGCGGGAAGACGGGCCATTGGGCAAAGGAGTGCCCAAATCACAAGCAGGAGAAGATGACTGAGGCTCATCTGGCACAGGCTAATGATGATGATGAGGCCACTCTCCTGATGACGATGTTCTGTGCACTGCACGACGTTGAGGCCAAGAAAAAGGGAGAGGGGATGACAGTGGAAGGGCCTAGGAAGGCTCTAAAAGCTGTCAATCTCGACGAACCGTGCGCCCAAGTCCACCTCGGACGTGTGGGCGGCGAGCAAGAGCAGCGGTGGTACCTGAATGTAACACCCCGGGTGTTTAAGTATTAAAAATTGGACATATCATCATATGCATTGCAAGGCATTGGTCATATTGCAAACTTTGATATGCATTCACTAAAACAAGTTTATATTTATGGTATAAGTATTGTTTTGTATTGTTTGAATCAAGTTTGAAATCTTTGTATTGATTTGAAATTCCGAAAACCCTGATTTTCAATATTTAAACCCTACCCTGAAAACCCATTTCAAAATCGAAGCACATCTTGGGGTTGAGCCTTAACGCAAAATTGTAGGGCTTGTTGAGTTGTACAAAGTTTGTTTTTGGTGTTTTTAAAGTTGTTTAGTAAAATTTGAAGTTATTTGAAAAGGCGAAATTCCTTAAATGTCCCCTATTTGAATTCAAAAGTTCATTTCAAAATGTAGACCGAATTAGGGGTTGGTTATAAAAGAAAAGTTATAGAACTTTTGATTTGGAACAAATTTTATTTTTGGAGATTTTTGAGTTATGAAAATTTGAGAGTAATTTGTGAATTTTGGCGAATGGCAATTTTGTAATTTCTGTGAACAGTGTTCACCGCCTAAGCTACATTGCCGGTGATCCTTCGGCTTGCTTCCAGTCGCGCGCGTGGCCGTCTGGGCATCGCGCTGGCGAGGGAAATGACTTCGCCGTGGCTTCCTTGCACTTCCTGGCCACCTTTATAACCTGAGCCGCCAACGTCCTTGTCGTTTCCTCCTCCTCTGTTTTCCCGTCGCCTTGCTCATCTCCGGCAAGCTCCCACCGTCGAACCAGTGCCTATGCTATCGCAGCGTAGCGCTCAATAGTTCCGCCTTCTCCTTGCGCACCCAACTGAATTGCTTTTGTTGCTTGATTTCACCGGGAAACTGCTCTGCGCGCTCTTCTTCCTCACGGCCGGCAACATCCCCGTCGCAAGCACTTCGCCGTGGCCAGAGCTCCACGGTGTGCCTCTGCCCCTGCTGAGTCTTGCTTCAGCTTTGCCATGATGCCGTGGTACTTTATGACAAATTGATTTCTCATTTTTACCACCACAGCGACCAGAGCATCGCCACAGACGACGGTCTGCTCTGCCATGCCTGCTTGGAACGTCGACCAGCCTCTTCGTTGCTCCTCCGACCCTGCTCGTTGCTCAGTCATGTTCGGGGAGAGGTGTTGAACCCTTCTGTGCTAAGTGTTTAACCTCTACCGCACTTGTGTCGCCGGCGTAGCGCGGCCGTGCCATCGTGTCCGCCATGGCCGTCGTGGTGCTCGGCCCTATTAGTGTTTAGTCTCGTTTGTGCCACCAGTCGAAGCGTAGTAGTGTAGGGGACGTGGTGGTGCTTTTACCGTCACCGTTGGTCTCACCGGCGGCGAGAATTCGTCGGTCAGCGCGCGTGTCGCCGCGGTCAAAGCTAGAGGTGGAAGATGACATGTGGGACCCGATGTCAATGACACAGCGTTCAAATTGGATTTTTCTATTTTCAGAATTGAATGAATAGTATCTGTTTTTGTTATTTTTGTGTAGATTTATTTAAAGCTCCAAAATTATGAAAATTTTTGTGTGAACTCTCTGTGATGTATATTATTTAGGAAAAATATGAAATGTTGTTTTCAGTACTTTTTGAATGTGATAAAAATTGCTCAATTAATTAATAAATGAGTTTCCAGGATTTTTCTAGGTTTATTTAGGTATCCAAAAATTATGAAAATTGTTTTGTCACTTAGTTATCATGTGATGAACATTTACAAAAATTTTGAGGCCAATTGGAACAAATTGATTTATTTCATAATTCTTAATTAATTAATTAATTCATTCATAAAAGCAAATAGTAACCTTTAGTGATTTAGGTTTTGTTTGAGTTTTTGATTGAGTGATGTCCTTGGGTCATTAGTTGGTGATGATCCTTGGCAATTGATGTGAGTGTTGCAAAAATGGTTTAGTTAGTTTGACTTGTAACTGTACCGCGAAGGAAAGTTGTATTCAAGTTGTTAATTTTGCATCCATCATCGAGCATCATGTTTCGTATTCCGCATCATGTTAAACATGGCATTGTTACTACGTGTAGTGAACGAAGGTGAACACGTGGTAGTTAGTCAAGTAGTTGAGGAGGTTGATCCGTCTGTGGAGGTTGGTGTTGATATCGGTGGAACGACTTCGGACCCAGATTTTTCCGTCAACGAAGGCAAGCCCCGGATGCATACAACCCTACCTTGTATTTTACAAATTGATTTCGCTTTTGCTTCTTTTTACTGCATTAAGTGATTAGGAGTCAAGTGAAAACCGAATTGGTACATTACCAACCTTGTTATTCCATATTTACCATATTACCAGTTTTAAATTCGTATATGCCTAGTTTTGCTTAGCTATGCTTAGAACGATGAAAGTCGGGTGATTACCTGTCATCTGCAAGTTTAAAATGGATCTTTGGTTAATTATGTTAACATGTGATATGGGAATGTGGAGTAATAAATCTAGACCGGGCGGACTCGGTGTGTGTGAGCCACAAGACATGGAGGTCTTGTGAGCGGGTTCTTTCCGCCTGTGTCGATTAAGGTCCGTACCGTTGTTGAATTGCATGAGGTGAGACTTTGTAGTACTAACCACATACTCCGGTAAGCCTTAACTTGGCTATTCTATTACGAGAAT